GTACTTTATACCTTGTGCCTTGATACCTATGGGGTATTGCATTGGGTAGCATGATGCTAGTGCTCAACTACAACCATGATCTTGTAACTTGACTAATGGAATATGCAATAAACACTAAAAGATGCTTTTTAGCAACATTGAACAAAGGGGCTAGAGCATTAGGCTATTTTTATGGTGCTCTAGATTCCTCTCCCTAAGGACTTCTCTGTAAGCGAACATCCAAAACTTACAGTACAGCTGTGAGGGCTATATGGCTCTAGCTTTAGCTCAGTATAAGGACCTTTTCTAACTTGTTAGTGGTTACCTTTATGGCGTAAGAGGGGCTCCGACAGGTATGACCTTTGCCTGCCAGGTTGAGTGCATTTTGGTTTCTTGGTCTTTTGTCAGTCACTCCTTGGAGGGGAGTTCATGCTTATTGATGGGGAAACCTAGCGGCCCTAACTTGTTAGACGAACCTTTGAAAGGCTTCATAATGAACCCTGCCGACCTTCCTTGGTAGTGGGTCAAGAGGCTGATCACCTCGGGCGAAAGGGTAAATCACGACTCATAGTGAAAGTGTACAACCTCTGTAGAGTGTAAAACTAGTATATCAATCATGCCCCCGGTCATGAACGGCCTTGGACCCTTACGGAATAGATGATGAACAATGATGATATTGATGATAAAGATGCTCATTAATGGTTAATTGTTTATGCTATTCATTATTTATGTTTACCTGATCATATGTTTATACGGGCTTGTGAATAAACTTGAGGCTACCCTATTGCTAAAATCATGACTCATTAAAAGCTAATCGCAGTTACACCAGTGTTAGCCTTTTGAGCCTCATGAACCCCATGTTATATTTGTTGAGTACGACATGTACTTACGCTTGCTTTACTTTTTAAATATTTGGAAAAATCCCGGATGGGTACCAGATTGCTAGTCTGGAGGAGTTAGGCTTGTGATCAACCAGTCGATTGTCCCTGTGGATTGGAGTCTTCACCCGAAGATCGGAGTTATCTTTCCACTGTTTGTTGTCTAAGGTTATATCCTTTATATTAAGTACATTATATATTGAGTATTGTCTTTTGATATTACCCTTATTTGTAGCTATATGTGAGATTTGACTTACTGGGCTCACATATGGTGTGTATCTGGTTTTGTTCATAAAACCGGGTGTTATGTTCTTCTATAAGACCAACAATTTGATATTAATGGCATAATTCCTTAGAAGATATGGTCATCCCTTGAGACCAAAATGCTCTAACTCATTAGTACAATGATTTCCATGTAGAAGTAGACTCCTTACTATTGTTTAAAGTGTTCCGAAGTAATAAAGAGTTCAACCTCAGTGTTAGTGCTAATATTAAGACTGAAACAACAAGCTTGTGCGAAGTCACACCTCAAGAAGAGGTGTTCCAGTGTTTCCTCCATAGGTTAGGTGCATAGGACACAATCACAAATGGGAAGATCCATATGTTCATCCTCCTGAGAAGTTCTTTTATGCTAAGTCGGTCTTCTAGGACTAACCAGAAGAAGATTTTATGTTTGTATTAGTAGGATGACCTCTAGATCCATTTGAATGTCGGGTGTACCTCTGTGTGGCCAATTAGAACTTTGTAAGCCTTTATTGAGTTGTACATGTGAGAGTTCCAAATATAAGATCACCAATCATGTTCAGGTGTCAAAGTGATGCCTTGTAGATCTTGCTCCAATTGATGTAGCTAGGCAAAAGCATCAATTGATAGGGGAGATGAAAAAGATTGTGCAACGATATAATTGATTTGGCTTTGCTGAGTGTTATTCTCTATTTTTTTGCAAAGGAAAAGATTTCATGGTATGCCTGACTTGGGACTTTACCAAGCCAAAGATCTAACCAAAGGAGACAAGATTCTCCATTGTCAATGTTAACAAATGTCATTCCTTTAGAACTATCCAAAAGCTTTAATATATCTCTCCACAAAAAAAGATCCCTTCTTTGTATGACCAGACTATTTACCATTGCTATAGTTCTTTTCCCATACTAAGTGGACCCACGGGATATCCTCCTTATTAAAATATTTATGAAGATTTTTTTTGTAACGAGTGCTTCATTTCTGTTCTTAAGTTAATGCCACACAAATGTCCCTCATCTTTGGGTTTGCATGGCATTGTCATGCTGCTTTTGGGAGATTTTTTTGCATTGATGTTAAATACCCTCCACAAGCAATGCTTTCTATATTTATCCACTTGCTCAAGCACCGTTGTAGATGCATTCTTAAGGTGCACAAGTAAAAGGTGTTGGGAGCAATGAAGACTAAGTTAGTGAGCTCCATAAGACCAACTTGAGAAAGAATAGTTGAGGTACTGACAAGTCTACATTCACATTTGTGACTAATGGCATGAAATCCTCAACCTTTGGCTTGTTGGTCTCTAATAAAGGTAATCCCAGGTAAGAAAAGGCAAAGAGCCCTTGGGACAACCAAATGTGTTAGCATAGACGTGGTGTCGAGGCTAGGGGTTACCTTTGTTTACCTCGTACTCCACGGGTTCGGGTATAGAGTAGAGTATAGGCTGGATTGGACTTAGCAACCACTAAGTCAAAGGTCGGTGCTCGAAGTAAGCAAGTAAATTAAGTGTGATCCTTATCGTTAACTTAGTTCTATCCCATAGTTGTCCTCTCTACCGACAACTATCTTTTTCTCCTTGGATGTAACTAGGACCTTTATTTGATAAACACACACGTTCCCTATGGATTCGATAAAACCTTAGAATACTCCTAGGTGAAAGCTACAACGGCATCCATACGCTTGTGGATTTCTTTGTGGTGTTAAGATACCCAACAAGTTTTGTGGTGCCTTTGTCGGGGAACAGTTGTTGTTTTATCGCTGGACCTATTTCATCCTCGTATCTATTTCCTAATTTTGCTATCTTCGCTTTCTCTAACCTTTCCTATTGGGCATCAAAATTCTATTCAAAACCTTTTTGCTCCAAAGGTCGAGTTCTATGAACCACTACCCTCTTCAAAACCTATTTTATCATCTGGTTATGAACTCCGCTCTGCTTTCGTAGCAATGGTGTGGTAGCAACTCTTCTTGGGGTTGGACGATGAAAATCCTCACCACCACCCGCGAGAGTCTGAGCAACCGTGTTCATGCCTGCTCATTCTAGGCATGACACAGCAAACATTAAAGTGGAAATTATTTCCATTCTCTCTTTCTGAGAGGGCAAAACAATGGTATGCTCATACCGTTGAAGCGTTAACGGTACTTGGGATAAACTTCAGAACAATTTTTGTCTTGACTTCTTCCTAATAGAGCGAGTCGCTGACCTCCAAATAGAGGGGCTCTCCTTTCGATAGACTAAGAACGAGTCTATAGGAACTACCTGAACAAGGTTTTCCATGTTGATTAATTTTGTCCCAAACTTGTCTATACTCGACTGTGTACTTTTGCTACATTTTTTGTTGGGTCTTAGCTAGGAATCTGCCCTATACTTGGATTTAGACATTGGAGGTTCATTCTCTCACAAAGACACAATGGAAGGAAGACAAATTCTAAACCACTTTCTTGAAAACAATCACTATGCTGATTATCTTAGCAAACAATTCAGGGCTATCCTAAAACTAGAGGAAACCTCAACAACTGAGCCTAAACCTTTAGATTCTTTTGTTGAGCCCTCTCCCGAACCATTGCTAAACCCACAACTTTTGGAGGATGAAGAAATTCAACCTTTGAAGCTTCCTTTTGGTCTTCCACCCAAAACAGAGCCCTTAGAAAAGTCCTTTCTAGAAACAAAGGTGAAGGACTTAACTTCAATTCTTAGTGACCAATGGTTTAGGGAAACAAAGCTTTCTCCTGTGTTTCAATTGTGTACACCTTTCTCAACTATTTCTTTCACTAACAAATCCTTTCTCAAAGAAGCCCTCTGTAACCCCACTTTTGGCTTAAACATAATGTCAGCCCTGCTAGCATCTAGACTTTTCTTCAAGAGTCGCTCTGGATTTCTTTTAGAATGCAAGGGCGTTCTTGCAAGAACTCTACCCGACTTGATGCTATTGAGGTGCTCCTTGATTTTCATATTTTCGAAATTCCCGACTTTGATATCATATGATAGGACATCCCAACGAGAAACTTCTTACCAAATCAAACAAAGTTTAAAGATTAAAATGCAATATGATAGTTCATAGAAGGATTTGAGCCCAAAATACAAAGATTATAGGATTAATGATCACTTTGATATAGTTCTATGTTAAAACTGAGCCTAAAAGGGAAAAAATGAGAATTAAAGTGGCCATTTTAAAGGTTTAGGGACCAAACTAAGTCTTGGTCTCTCGGATGATTGTTGTAGGACGAAAAGGACTATTCTGCCATTTCCAAATGGCACAACTGTCCATGTATTTATAAGATACTTCCTCAACCGGGAATAAATCGCCGCCCTCCCAGCGATCAGACTACTGTGCACCAATGTTCTCTTACGGTTTTCCCGCTGTTTTAAATAGCAATCGGACCACTGTTTCCCACTTTTAAACACAGTTTTAAGTGTTGTTTCTTCTTGTTCACGGACAATGTTCATCACCGATATATATACCGGCGCAGCAGAGCGCGCCTGATTGGGCTAGTTTATCCATCAGCCACTTTGTCCTCGTTGAAATTTCTTTTCGGTTGGAATAGATTTGTTGTATTTCGAATCAAATGGCTCAAGAATTACTTTAAAAAATACAATACAAGCTGCCATATAAGTTGTTGGCCGTTATATTAAGCTAGCATATGCATTATTTTCATGTGAATGGATCAGCCACTTTGTCCTTGCCGAAATTCCTTTTCGGTTGGAATAGTTTTGTTGTATCCAATCAAATGGCTCAAGAAGTACTTAAAGTGTACATTAAAAAGTAGAGTACAAGTTGTCGTACAAGCTGGTGGCCGCTATTAAGCTAGCATATGCATTATTTTCACGTGAATGGACACAGTAAATATAACGTCGAGTCGCTGCTTAAATATAGCCCTACAAGCTCAGCTTCTTTAGGTCAGGCAAAAGCCATGGCGAGAAGCAGTGCCCATTCGGCCTCCGTCCTTCATGACATCCATCAAAGACAGCGAGCCGATGGCCCCGCGGCCATGCTGGGCATCGGCACGGCAAACCCGACGAACTGCGTGCTACAAGACCAGTTCGCCGACTGGTTCTTCCGCGTCACCAAGAGCGAGCACCTCGCCGAGCTCAAGGCCAAGACGAAGAAGATTTGTGAGAATTTACTTCTGTTTAATTGACGGAAACATCCCACGGAAAGAACCAGAAAACTGTTTGACGTAATCACAATATATATGATTATATTCTCGCCTCGCACGCAGGTGACAAATCAGGCATCACGAAGCGCTATTTCTACCACACCGAGGAGATCATCAGCGGCCACCCGGAGTTGATCGACGGCGCGCTGCCGTCGCTCACAACGCGGCTGGGCATCATCGAGGACGCTGCGCCCAAGCTCGCAGCGGAGGCAGCAACAAAGGGCGATCGCGGACTGGGGCCGGCCGGCGGCCGGCATCACGCACCTCGTGGTGGCCACCAACTCCGGCGCCAGCGAACCTGGCGCCGACCTGCGCCCTTGCGGGGCTGCTGGGCCTCCGCCCGACCGTGCGCCGCACCCTGCTGTACCTCCACGGCTGCTCCGCCGGTCTCGTCGCGCTCCGCGTCGCCAAGGACATCGCTGAGAACAACCGCGGCGCCCGCGTGCTCGTGGCCTGTGCTCAGGCCGAACTCTTGTTGTTCTGCCCCCCCGGACGAATCCCGCCTCGACGTTGTCATCGCCATGACCCTGTTCAGCGACGGCGCTGGCGCTGTCATCGTCGGCGCCGACCCGGCAAGCAGCCCCATGGCCATGGAGCGCCCCATCTTCCACATGGTATCTGCCTCGCAGACGACGTTGCCAGCACAGACCAGGCAGTGGTAATGAATCTCAGAGAGAACGGCCTCCTCGACAGTCACTTGTCCGTCGAGGTGCCCACGCTTGTCCAAGGCAGCATAAACAAGTGCTTAGCTGACACGCTGGCACCACTAGGCCTCTTGAACGCGAGCGACGGTGGCTGGAATGGGCTCTTCTGGGCGCTGCACCCAGGCGGCCGTGCGATCTTGGACAGCTACGAAGCCGCTCTCGGTCTGGAGCCGGGGAAGCTTGCGGCCAGCCGGCACGTGCTAAGTGAGTACGGCAACATGATGGGCGCGACGATCATCTTTGTTCTCGACGAGATACGGCGGCGCCGCCGCCGCTGCCACGATGATAGGAAGGATTGCCAGTGGGGTGTCATGTCGGGGCTCGGCCCCGGACTCACAATCGAGACAATTGTGTTGCATGTCACCGACAGCCAGGACGAAAACTAGTGCTTTATTTAGTGGCTTACTATAAGACTCTGCCACACGATTAGCCTACATATATGCTGGGCGATGACTTGAAAAGCAGCCAAGCTTGCAAAAAGAGGGTTTCTTGTTTGCCCGGAGGTGCATGGAGGTTGGAGGGTATATGTAATAAGTTTATCACATCATTGTTACACCGAATTGACAAATGCTATACTACACTCGGTTGTTTTGGCGCTCTGTGGCACTCGATTTTCAGGCGGCTGGATCAAGGATCGGTTGGTCACGCACCCGCCCGTCCTCGCTCTCTGTCGGTTGGTACACGTACGTACCGTGCACCCGCCCGCACTTGATTAATACACGTACGTACCATATACACATGACGCGGAATACACGTAGGTACCGTCGCCGCCTCATCCATGATGAATGTGCACTGTTTGGATCAACATATATTAATTTGTTAATTGTGTTTGTGTTATAATATATTTTTTTTTTCAATTGACCGTCGCGAGCTACCGGCAGAAGCCGGCTTAGGAATCTGTCAGGGACCCAAAGCCTGACAGTCACGGAGATGTTGCACCATCTGCCCATTCAACGACCGTGAGGCCCTGTCAGCCAGTCCATCGACAGGGTCACGCAACGGCGTGACGCGTCGAGACAAGGAGCTCCCCAAGCTCCAAGGGCAGAGGGCTCCAGACCCAGTCGTCAGCCCCTCTAGGCGGGGGAGGCTCCTTGCGCACCAAGGAAGCCTTGAGAAGGCTCACCCAGGGGAGACCGCATAGTGGCAAACATCCCCTGATGGTCAAGCGACAGACTATGGCAACACCGTTAGTGAGTGGGTGCGATGTTATTAGCCCCTTCCTATACGACAAAGGAAGCACCAAACGAAGCCGAGACAAAGGATGGTGAGCACCACGTGTAGAAGCCTTGGGCCAGAGCCGAAAGCCCGAAACCGATTTGTAACCATGCCCTCCTCACAATATAAGGGGACGCATGTGATACTTAGAAGGGGATCGGCTCATGGAACCGCTCATCCAAACTCGATAGCCAAGAACCATATGATAGCACCACGTAATCCCCTACCAATCTATCTCGATTCCACTATTGCAATCCCAGTTGGGCTTTCCTAACATGAAGAACACCATCTGCTAGAGATAAGGCTCAGAACCCCAAACCAGGATAAATAGATTTGTGTCCCTTGTGCCGATCTCCGACGAACAACCCTGATGGTTGCCATGGTTCTGAACCGGTGATATTCAACCGACCACCCTTGTACGTCGCCCAACCACCCTCTTTCCCGCAGATGACTCCCACCACCACCTCTCCACAGTCAACATGCAACCAAACACAACTTTGTCTCATCGCCACCATCCATTTTATGATGGTTTTATCCAAGGGAGGAGGATGGAGAGCATATGGATCCATGGGCCCACACCAAAAGTGCTATAGATACCCTCGTACTCCCCTCACTCTCATTAATGACCACAAGGAGGAGCTACACACTCTATACATGGGTGAAGCGCTGCTCTAGCAGTAGTAGTATACAAAATAGGGAGAGAGTGAGGGGAGTGTGGAGAAAGGTCCCGATCTATCGATGTCTTCTCCAAGATGTACCTCGGCAGATGCAATCTTATTGTAAGTAAATATCCGAGACTCTTTATGGTAATTTTGATATCGATTCTCGTGAATTGATGTATACTTGTTTTGTCATTGATGTGTATTTTGCTTTACTATGCTAGAGTGCTCTAGTCTCGCTAAGGGAACTTAGTGGCGCAAGGTTAGAGTAGTCAGTAATAGAGTAAACATGATGTCTAGACTATACCTTGCCTGTGTATACTACTTGCCGCACAAATTGTCTGTAGTAGCTAATAGGTGGTGACAGCCCTATATAGCCTTTGTATTCTCACAAGTGTTCTTAGGCAAGTTATTAAAATAGTAGGGCCCCATAAAAAGTTAGGCGGTTCAGGCAATGGCTTTGTCCTCTTGCTGTGGACTCTTTCGCTCCATGAGCAAGGGCATGGTAAATGCCTTTGTACCTATCTTACTATAGACAAAATATCGTCGGCAGTCCTCCGAGGGGTATCCTTGATCTGGTCGTCCTCCTTGAGGGATATCTGGTGATAGCAGAGTGACGATCAGTAAGGAGAAGCAGTTAAGTGGCGGTAGTGGAGTCTACAACCTCGTCTATCCGAGACAGATCGAAGGGGTCTTTTAGGCGGTGCTTGTTGAGATCGGTGTAATCAACGCACATTCTCCATTCTTTATTCTTTTTTTGAACAAGAACAGGGTTTGCTAACCACTCAGGATGATATACTTCTTTAATAAATCCGGCAGCTAGGAGCCATTTTATTTCTACCCTAATAGCCTCCTTCTTGTCTGGCGTGAATCGTCGGAGTTTCTGCTTGATTGGTTTTGGCAGTCGGCAAGACATTCAAGGAGTGCTCGATCTTCTCCCGTGGTACCCCCGGCATGTCTGTGGGTTTCCAAGCAAAGACGTCGACGTTGGCATGTAGGAAGGAGACGAGCGCGCTTTCCTATTTGGGGTCGAGGTGAGCCCCAATCTTGATGGTCTTGGAGGGATCGTCGAGGCCGAGGCCGACCTCCTTCGTTTCCTTGGACTTGGCGAAGGCATGAGGAGGCTCTAGCGCTGGGATCTCCAGGTCATCGGCAGGCACCGTCTTGGCGTCGATGACCATGCTAGCCATCTGGATGTAGAGGTTGGTGGCTTCAACGAGGACAAGACTCTCTGTCTTGTTAGTGTAGGCAATATAGAGGTTGGCCCGCAGGGCTAGAACTCCTGCAGGCGAAGGCATCTTCAACACCAGATAGGCGTAGTGCAGTATGGCCATGAACTTGGCTAGAGCTGGCCGACCAAGTATGGCATGGTAGGCAGTGTTGAAGTCGGCGACGTAGAAGTTGATGTGCTCGACGCGGTAGTTGCTAGCCATGCCGAACTATACTAGGAGGGTGATCTCTTCCAGTGGTTTGGATGCCCTGCCAGGTACCACACCCTAGAAGGAGGAGTCAGAGGTAGTGAGGTCTTCTATTATGAGGCCCAGCTCCTTCAGGGCACCGACGAAGAGGAGGTTCAGAGCGCTTCCGCCGTCGATGAGTACTTTCCTAAAGAGCACTTTCCTGATGGTGGCGTCAAGGACAAGGGAGAAACGCCCTGTGTAAGGCATGTCCGCCCACTGGTAGGCCCTGCTGAAGGTGATGGGGACCTCAGACTAGGGGCGATAACTGGGGTTGGCGATGGCGTCTTCTATGTTGACGGCGAGCACCCGGCGGGCGGTGAGCTTTCGATCTCTTCTGCTCTCAGCGGCGGCGAGGCCCCCAAAGATAGTGGCGACCACTTTGTCGTGATCTTGGAAGGCGTTGTTGTTATCCCCATGTGGTCGACGACCTCTGGCTCCGTCTTTGTTGTCATCGTCGTTCTTCTTGGTCTGGAACTCCTTAGCCAAACCAAGGCAGTCCTTCATCTTGTGCTTGCTGTTCTTGTGGAGAGGGCATGGGCTTTCGAGGATTTTCTTGTACTACTCATCGTAGTTGTGCTTGGCGCGAGGTTTGTCAACGACGGCAATGATGTGGTCTAGTCAGCAGCGGCGATATTGACCAGATTTGGACCCTTCCAGCCGATCACGGCCAATGTCCCGATGGTCACCGCGGTCGTCGTGGCGGTGGTCCTTTGTGGCGTCGTTAAATCGGGCGCTTGTCCATTGCGGCGAGTTGGGCGATGAGTGCCCGCATCCTCGTTGAAGCGAACTTCAACCTCTTCGGCGTCGGTGTACTGATCGACGGTCGTGATCATCCCGCCAATCCTCTTTGGCAGCTTACGGTTGAACTTGGAGCAGAGGTCGCGGTGATGGAGTCCTCGGATGAAGGCGGTGATGACTTCTGCTTCTGTGATGTTGGGGATAGAGTTCCTCATCTCAAAAAAACGGTTGATGTAGCTACGGAGGAGCTCGGACGGTTTCTGATAGATGCGATTCAAATGATGTCTGGTGTCCAGCCGAGTACATGTAGCCAAGTAGTTGTTGGTGAAGACCTTCTTCTTCTGTTCCTTGGATCCGATGGAGTCCAGGGCGAGGCTTGTGAGCCAGTTCATCATAGTTGGCGTGAGCATGACGGGAAGATATTTTGCCATGACACTGGTATCTCCCCTGGCGGTGTACACAGTGGTGGCATAAGCTTGTAGCCACTGTGTGGGGTTCATACGCCCCTAGTAGGGCTCGACCATGATGATTTTGAAACCACGGGGCCACTGGAGTGTTCGGAGTGCCCTTATAAATGCTCGGGGCCCTTCGGGATCGTCACCGTCGTGATCAGCGGCATTGCGGCGTTGAGTGGTACGGAGGGCGTGTGCAGGTTACCGAACTCTTGCTCGTATTCACGTATTTGGCGTGCTTCTTCTTCATGGCGAGAGAAATGGCGCCCGTCGATATGGCGTTCTTGGCGTCCTAGAGATTGTTGATGTGCGCTCGGGCATCTTGGTCGACTTCTTGGTCATGTTGGAGAGGGTAGTCAATGCGGTTCCCCTAGCTCCCCACGGAGGGGTCGTCCATCATCATGATCTTTGGTCGGTGAAAGCTTGACTTCTGTTGGGGCAGCAATTAGATCTTGGCGCGGTAGATCGGTGAATCGAGCTTGTCGAGTAAGAAGGTCTCGATCTGGTGGATCTCGTTAACTGACGATGTGCCACTTTAAGCATGGCGTGGCGACATTGGCGACCTCTGGCGTTTGCTCGGTGGCGAGCTCATTAGCGACCACGACCGGGTTGGCGCTTGGAGTCTTGTAGACATCATGGCTGTCGACACGGAAAAACTCATCGTCGAGGTTGCGGCGGAGTGGGAGTAGCCCCCGTTGCGAGTCGAGCTATTCCCCGTTGCGAGCAGCCTCGGCTAACACAATGGCGGCCTCATTTACTCGGCTGCGCACGGTTGGCGTTTCTGTTGACGCGAGCTGTGCGGTCCTCCTCGGTTTCTCCATCCCGTGGAGGGGTCATCGATTGACATTAAAAATCCTGCCCC